GGGGCCCTCCTGGAGTTTTTTCTTGGGGCTCTCTTGGGGTTCTCTTAGGGCCTCCCTGGAGCCCTCTTGGGGCTCTTTTGGGGCGTCTTGGGGCCCTATTGGGGCTCCGCTGGCGGGGTCGGGCCCCGGCAGTCGGGCGCCGAGCTTGGCGCGGCCGCGGGGCGCCGCTGCGACGAGCAGGCGGTGGGCGAGGAGAAGCTCGCGGAAGAGGGCGAGTTTGCTTCGGGGCAGCTCGCTCAAGGGCGGCGCGTGGCTGCGGGGCAGCTCGCTCAGCGGCGGCGCGTGGGCGTATCGGCGACGACTGCTGGGCCCCCGCTGCCGAAGTGCGTCGAGGCGCGCCGCGTCCTCGCAATGCCCGAGCTGGCGCCGCGTTGCCTCCGCGTGCCCGCCCAGCTGGTGCATGGGCTCCGAGGGCGCGCCCAGTCTTGGAGCGCGGCGCAGCCGGCCATTCAGCCCGAGCTACCCGTCCTGGACCGCCTCTCAAGCAGAGACGGCAGGCCGTGGGCTGCCCCGCGCAGGAGCCCCGAGGAGGTGGCCCTGGCGCGGCAGGAGCGGGGCGCGACGCTGGAGCTGCCCAAGTCATGTGCGACGCCCCCGAAGCTTGAAGCGCGACCATCCGTGCCAGTTTCAGCCGAGCACTCGGCCTGAGGGACTTGATCGCGCTCTGTGGCGCAGCTTGCAAAACGAGGTGGGCCGTGGGGGATGCGGCAGTGACGTCCGTCGGGGCCACGGACTGGGACCGAGCGGGTGGCCGACCCTCCGGCGCCGAGCCCGTCTACCTTGCCGCCGACGCAGTGCGCTCGCTGGCCCAGCTGGGTGACGCTCTCGCCTGCCCGCGGGCAGAGGAAGAAAATGCCATCGCTGTGGTTGAGCCGCTGGCGCCGGTCGCCTTGGCAGCCGCCCAGTGCTGCCATTGGGGGTCGGAGCTCATCTTCTACGTGGCCGACGTCTCCAACGTCCAAGTGTGGCCGGCGAAGAGGCGTCCCAGTAATGTGCTGGCCCGCCACTTGATCTGCCTGATCAAGAGGGTGGAAGCAGAGCGTCGGTTCGCCCTCGCGTCGCCTCGCGCGCGCGCTTGCCGCGGTGACGCGGCCGAATGGCTGACCTGGGAGGGGGCGGCGCGGAAGGTCCGCTGCACCTTGGCGGGGGGAGGGTGGCGTCGGATCGAGCCGCCCGCCGAGTGGGGGCAGATGGTCGCGGGCTCCAAGGACCGGCGTCTCGGGCCACTTGGCGAGCGCCTTCGCCGAGGCCGCCCCGCGGCGCTGCGCGCTCGAGCGGGCCGCCGGCGTCCTTCGCGCTGGCAGGTCGCGCTCGGTGCGGTCTGGGCCCCCCCCCGGCCTCCGCCCGGGCGCCTTCGCTGCGACGGGGGGTAGGGGTGCTGAGGCTTCGACGGGTGCCTGGGCGGGCTCGTCGTCGTCCGCGCTGGAAGTGGCTGGCGCCCCCGCGAGCCTGGGCGCCACTCGCGCTGTGAAGTCGCCGGTGAGGCTCGGGTTCTTGGTCGCGATGAGGGAAGTGCGCGCGCAGTGTGGCGACGCTACCTCGCGCTCGCGGCAGCTGCTGGCAGCGGGGGGGCGTGGCAGTGGCTGGAGTTTGGCGAGCCCTAAGCTGCCGCTGACTCGGCGAGTCGCCCATGGCGCGATGGACTTTTTCGTGAAGGGAGATCAGATGGAGGGGATGGGCGCGCAGAGGAGAGTCATGTGGGGCCTGAAGGTCAAATCGACGGGGGCCCCTCGCCCCCCCGAGCAGTCGGGCGCGTCGAGATCGGCCACGGTCGACACTTGTTGCGCGGCGAGGGCGGCCAGGCGGGGGCCGGGAGGTGGCCGGGCCGGGGGCCCGCGGGCCCGGGCGCCGCGCTCTTTTGTCCTAGCAAGAACATCGGGGAGGCCCGCGCGCTGACCCCCAGGGGGGTTTGGTGCGCGAGAGGAGGGTGCGAGGCCGCTTGCGAGGCGAACGCCTCGCGGAGGGCAAGGCGGTCGAGGGGCGGGCGCGCGCCGCGGCGAGGGCGCTGCTCCCCGAGACGCCCGAGGCCATCTTTTATGCGGCTGCTGCAGGCCCACGGGGGCATGCTGCGAGCGCTGGCCCCGTGCCTGGGCGCTGGCCCCAGACGACCCCTGCGCCAGGCTGGGCGACGGCGCGTCGGGGAGAGCAGGGGGGGCCCTCGGCGAGATGCCGCCGCAAGAGCCAGGCGGCCAGGACCTCGAAGCCTGCCGGAAGGGCGAGAGTGCGGCCGCCTTCCACGAAGGGGGCGAGGCAGTTACCCGCGTCAAATGCTCCAAGGCAGATCAAGAATACGTCGGAGCGGTCCGGGGCCAGCGCGGCCCGCCGCCGGCCCCGCCCGCGCCCGCGCCACAACGGGGGCGCATCGCCCGCGGCGCTTCAGAGGAGAGGGGTCTAGCCTGCCCCTCTGCAGGTGGTCCTCTGGGGTGGCGATGAAGCGCGAGGCGCTACCTTACGGCGGCAGGACTGGCAGCGGGGCTCCAGCGTGAGGACCCAGAGATCCGACGTTGTGATTTTTTCAATGCGGGGTCCCTGGAAGTCTCGACCCATTCCCCAGGGCCGGTTTTTCATCCTGAGTAGTTTTTTGACGGTCCCGGGGCCCGGCGAGGGCCCCTCGAGGCCGAAGAATATGAAAAACCTCAGTCTTGATTTTTTCAAGACGTTGGATCTCTGGGGAGATCGGCACCCGCGGACTCCGTCTAGAAAGGGGCCGCGGCCATGTGCCCCCGCGGCCGGGCCGCGGACCTCAGCCAGGTCCGGAGGGTCGGGCGCTGACGTTTCCACGACTGCCCTCGGGGGCCGCGCGAGCCCGCGATGGGCGCGGCCGACCGCGCGGCCCCGGGCGGCTCGGCGCTGACCGCGCGCGCATGCGGCGAGGCCAGCGACGCGGGCCCCGACGACGCTGGCGGAGTCAGCGGCAGCGGCCGCGCCGCTGGGCCGCGCCGCCAGCGCGGCCGCGGCAAAAGTCGGAGAGGAGGAAGGACTCGCAGGGGCCCTTTCGCGCCGCGTGATCGGAGGGACACCGGAGGTGGTGGTCTCTCTGGCCCCGGGGGGCCTCCTGGACCTGGTCGCGCTGGCCACGGCGATGGCGATAGTCCTCGGGGGGTCTGCCACCTCCTGGAGGCGCCGCAGCCGACCCAGAGAAGCCAGTAGTCGGCGGAAGAGGATCGCGGGGGACGAAAATCCCGCGGATGCCGCTGGGCAGCGAGGGCGGCGCCCGACGAAACTCTTCCTCGACGCGGGGGTCCCGGGGCCCGCGCGCTGCAACGGTGCGAGGCACGCGTGCGACGCAGGGCTTCGGGCGCGGCGACGAGGTCACGCGCGTCTCCGCGCTGAAGTCGTGCGGCGACTGAGGCCGCCGCGGTTGCGCCGACGCACTAGGGTGCCCGGCGTGCCAGGCGGGCGGCTCATGCCCAGATGCCCGGTGCCCCCCGCGGATTTGGCTCTTCGCCTTAGGGGGCGAGGCGCGCGCGCCTGGCCGGGCCCAGATGCCTGGGCCCTGCGCTCGCGCACCTGGCTGGGCGAACCGCGGGCTTGGCTGCTGACTTGCCCCATCTGAGAGGTGGGCTCTTTGCGCGCAGGGGCGGTGCGTTTGCGCCCAGCGGCCGCAGGCGTGCGCCGCTAGCTGGGCGCGCGTCGTAACGGGGGGGCAGTGGCCCTGGGGGGCGCCCCGGTCAGGCGGGTTGTGGAAACTTTGACCAAAGCCCGCCACAATCGAATCGCAGGCGCTTGCGCTTGGCTGTCGCCTGACCAGCGGGTGCCGACGCAGCCGTGCTGGGCTCCATTGAGCGCAGGAGCGGCCTGCTGCGAAGGCCGCAGTAACAGCGGCAGGCAGCAGAGCAGCCAGCTCCTTTCATAAGGTGCGGTGCAACTACATCAGAGGCAGGGGCCACCCCAGAACGGCACTGCTAGTTGACATCGTCGTAGAGCACCGCGACGGCTTACCAAAGGGGGCGGCGGAGACCCGCTCCGCGTAGCGGAAGGTGGACGCGGGGTGTGGCGCATCCCGTGCCAAGAGAGCATCGCCATCATTTGATGCCGCCGTCGCCTCCTCATTCCTCCCTCGAGCCTCCTCGGTGTAGGCTCGAGGTTTTGGCTAGTACCATCATTGCTGGCAGAGACAGCTTAGTTGTTTGCGGTAGCGCTAGGTTTTCTTAGCCACCAGGAATGTGCGGAGTTTCCTCTTTCCTGCTCCTGCTCTTGCCTGCCCTCTCTCTCTCGTTTCCCCTCTGGGGCGCAAGCCTTTCTGGGTCAAGCTGGCCCATCCTGTGGGGACCCATCAGGGGTCCCCCCCATTCTTGTGCGTCACAGCTTCCACCGATGGCGCCACAACGGCGTGGCGGCGGAGGCTGTTTTGAATGGCGGAAGCTGGGCGCGCAGTGCGGCGCGTCCTGTGATTCCGCCGTCGCTTCCTCTCCCTTCCATCGAGCCTGTTTGGTAAAAGGCTCGAAGTTTTCATTCGTGCGTCGCTGCTGGCAGATGCCGCTCCCCTCCGCGTCGGTTTCTCCCTCCTGTCCACCTCCTCCTTTTACCCTGGGTGTTGATGAGAAGGGTTGCAGGATGGGGGAGGATTGGGCGGACGAGCGAGAAACGAGGAATGGGGAGTGGAGGTGACGTGGTCCCAGGCGGTTGCCGTGGACAGCGAGGCGACGCTGACCCGGCTATCTCCCTCCGTCGCGTCAGGGGGACCCCCCGAGGGGCAGTTGCATTTGGGTTTGCTGACTCATGGCGCCGTGTGCCCTC